AAAAATTAAAATTAGTCATAAATTTAAAAGTTGCGATAACTTTTTTTTTGGTCCAATACTTTTGACCGGGGAGTGTATATTCTAAGATATTTAATATATATAAATATTTCATAAGAATATTAAAAATATTACCATTAATTATTCTAAGATTTGAATTTAAAAAAGTAGTAGAATTTTAAATTTTCATTAAATAACAAATTATTAAAAACATTCATGTAACTTAAATATTTAGAATTAATCAGTAAGTCTTCTTTACCATTACTATTAAAATTAAAATTATCATTTATTTTAAACTTGCTTGACCAATCAAACATGTTTCTGAAATTAAAGAGAATCCTATTGAATATTTAGATATTTGTTTAGAAAAATAATTTAATCATATATTTAAAAATATAATTATATTCAATAATAATTTTCTCATCCCAATAAGTAAAACTTTTTTTATCTTCCTTTAGGTATCGCATAATAATTATCTTATTGCTATTGCTTATGATTCAAAGAAAACTTTTTTCTGTATCTTGAAATTGAAGCAAAATGAATAAACTTTCACCATTATCAAGAGAATCTTTAACAATAATTAATTGTACTATTTATAAATTTTTCTTTTTTTAAAAAAAAAACCATATTTTATTTACTCATCTTAAATATATGGACGGTTTGCTATTAAATCACATTACAGATTATATTACTATGCAATAATATATATTTGAATTTGAGCATATATGTAGTAATACCTAGGTTCTTTATAATTAAAAAAAATTACTCACCTCTTTTAAGGGCATTCAATTAATAAACCTTTCCTAGTACTCATGTATTGCCCAAAGTGCTTCAATTTGCCAGTCGTATTTAGATACACTATGTTTTTGAATTAATCTCCAAATCAGACACATCCGACATTATCCTTTCATATTTTCTACCAAATTTAACATACTTTCCTCTATGAATATATTGATGTGCAGAAACAGCCAAATAATCTATACCATATCAAGAATACTCGTTGTGCCAACCTAATCTTGATTGTGCTTCATTTTTTTTTTTCATCTTGCATATATATATTATCGACAATTTGGTGATTTTGGTGGAAATGATTCTGATTTTCTTCCATTTCTTATAAAATGTTGTCGATATTTCCGGTAGGAATGAAAATAGTGATACGCTATTTTGCTAAAAACAAAAAATATTTTTTTTCTCAAACACAAATATCTAAAGTTAGATTTTAAAACGAAAAAGTGATGTCACCTAAATCTTGAATCCCATCCCCAATGAAAACTCCAACCATCATATCATAGCCTAAAATGAGCATAAGTGTAAGGAATAGTTTATTGTTAGGACTTTGTTTAGATAATTGTGGACTAGAAAACATGCTGCATCGGAATGGACATATTAGTTGAATATGAAAAGGATGAAGGTAAAAAAGATCCGAATTTGTCCAAGGTAAATTTATCGAAACATTGTTTTCATCAGATAATGGATATTTGTACTCTTCACTTTAAACTTTTTTCTTTCCGAACTTGCAATCCAAGAAAAAGATCCTTAATAATTGACGATGTATTTCGAAAGCACCAAAAACAATTTCTTTTATGATATCCTATACTATATCCAACAGTTTCTCAGAATAATTGTATAAAAAATTTGTCACATCTTTATGAGAGTCCACTTGCTTCCGATTTCAATCGTTTTCAGCTAACTTATTACATAATCATTAGGTTCGAACTCAAACCATTTCGCTAATTCGTGCCAACAATCTGTTACATATGATTTGCTATGTTCGTAACTCGATTTTAATAGAAAACCTCCCATATTGTTGAGACCTAAAAAAAAGTCTCGCCGCCTCTTTTTTTTTTTTTTTTTTATGTATGAAATTCAAACGATAACTCTTCACCTCATTTATGGTATTCTTCGAACATTTCAATTAGAATGGAGACTAATAATGACTTGTTTAATTCTAGATGATTCATTGAAAATGCAAAATATTCCAAAATATCCTTCATAATAACTAATGTAACAATTATTAAAGATGCATAAAATAAATTACTAGTTCGCCGTAATACACAAAGAAGTGGTTACCAAATCGCAAAAAAAATAAATAAATAAATAAATAGAGATTAATGAATTAAAGTTTAATTAAAAGATTTTCTGATCCATATTTGAAATAACTTACTTTATTCGTTTGATCCACAGCAAACATTTGATTTACTTTAACAGTTCGATTGTACGTTGATAAATTTTACACCAAATCATCAAATAAATTTTTTGAATTAAAAATAAATCAAAAAAAAAAAGATACATCATTAACCATGAGATAAGCCAAATTTGTCACATGATCTAACATTAATTCTCCACCTGCATAAAATTTAGATATATTAATTTACCAGTCTGGAAAAAAAATGACAGCCTTTTAAAGGATAGAAAGTCAAAAATCCGTAAAATGGTTACATATTGGTTAAATCGATTAAATTTAAAATGACTAATCTTACCTTTACTTGTACGGTTAATTTCTTAATGTCTAAATTCTTAACAATCGCGTGATTTTTCATTAATTTTTATTATAATACCAGAATATGTTTCTAGAAGTATAGAGAAGTATCGGGAGTTCAAGAAATTGCAAACATGACGAAATGTTTAAGATGTTGATGCTGGGATTTTTTTGGTATGAATACTTTATTATTATACGAAGTACTTTAATTAAAATATTGATAAAATTATTAAATTCTTCAAATCCGACTTTATAAATTTAATATTTCAATCTTCTGAATATTGACTCCTTTGGTATAAATAGGATGCATGTATTAAGAAGAATGGCTCGCTTTCAGTGGTCAGACCTTATGACCGCGATCATAAATATATTAACCTTACTTATTATGTAATACTTCTCGAAAGAATTACGTAAATTTTCATTAATCTATTAGCAAATGGGACGCAGTATGCGGAACAAATGTACTAAAATGAGCATTAAATAGGATTCTCGTCCCCGAATAATCATTTAAAATAACACTTGATGGGGTGACGCAATGTGATAAATAATTCACATGATTTTTTTGGGGGGGGATTTCTTTCGCTAAATTTCGCGATGTTAAAACTCATGATCTTCCGTTATTTTATATGATTTCCACAACAGATCACATTATATTTACATCGATGGTCTTAACATAAAGCGGATTAACAATGGTTAAAAATACCTTTATTTTACAACAAAGTACATTTTTTTAACTTGACGTAAAACTTTATCGTGTAAGGCGCAGTATGACCCCATCAAGTAAATTTGTTAACATACATTTTTGAATTCCTTATTGATATTTGAATGAAAATTTTAATAAAATAAATAAAGATTTAATATTCAAAAATTTTTACTTTTAAAACCTAATCTTTGAAAAAAATATATCAATGAGTTCCGAAAAAATAAAAAAAAAAAATTTTCGACGGTTATAAAAATTGACGTAATTCGTCTTCAAAATAATTTTTGGTTATCAAGTACGAGATTCAGAATTAATCTCGTTGATAAATGTGAATGATCAAAAGTAATTTTTATATATCATCGACACCAATCACTCGTTCACTGTCCTATTCCGCAATCTCCGCAAACTTATTACGCACGAAAGTATCAAATCAACTAAAATAATTACCATAAAAAAAAGGAAATCTTTGTTAAATAAAATGCCTCAAAAAAAGGTAGAAGGTGTATACCGATTAAATATTTTTAGAGTTTACCGAGAGACTCTAACGCTAACGTTCACTTTCGTGAAGGATTTGAAAAAAAATGATTTACTAAAGATTATTCTTTGTACCGAACATCCCAAGAGCGACATTAAACATATAAATTCAAATAATTCAATAGTATACAAATTCCAAATACAGAACACTTTTATTAATTATGCATTTAATTACTTTTAATTAATTTCGAAAGCAAATCCATCAGTCTTGTTTGCTTTAAGAGACATTCTAATATCTTATTATCTGCTAAAAGAATCATCGTTACGTGTTTGCTATTTTTATTTTATTAAACGTTTCATCTACATTTCGTATCACCAAGGATCGAATCCAATCCCATCTCGATTATTATTTTAACTTTACACACTTAAAAAATATTCTTTCATGTTTAAGTTTTTTCGAATAAAAAGAAAAAAAAATAAAGATAAGCGCAGTTGATCTTTTGAAAAAATGTCTTGACGTGTTATTCCACGTGATCGTGTCCATTTATTGAATCTTTCAGAATGAGTAAATCATAGACAAAATTGGTAAAATGGTTATCTAAATTATTGTTAGGAATTTAAGCCACTAAATTCCGCTCACTTCCGGTCTTCTAATTTACAATAATTACAAATAATAATAAATAATAAATTTAAAGTAAATCAAAAAATTTGACAATCAATTAAAATAATAATATAAATAATAAATATAATGAACAAAAGAAAAAAAAAAAAAAAGAAGGAGCGTTCTACAAATAATCTAGTCATATGCTCAGCCATGCAAAAATAAAATAAAAATAAAAATAAAAATAAAATAAAAAAAAGAAATTCATTTCTAAACAATTTTCGAGTTAATCGGGGAAATTAAACTCCATAAATCAAGTTCAACGAGATGGGTATGATCGAAAAAAGAAAATGTTTATCGATTCATGTACGTGTAACCTTTAATGCCGCCCAATCGTGTAAACCAATTGACTAGTAATAAATTTCAGTTAACAAATTTTTTTTTTTTTGTTAATGAAACCTGCATAACCACTGAATGAATTCGTGTCACAAAATTGTATTAAAATAGGCAATTCATTTCTTTATTGCAACTAATAAATTCACCCTTTTAACGGTTAGTAGAATGGGTACAAATTTGGTAAAGTAATTTGATAAAGACATCAGAATTTAAGGGTGAACGGGAAATTTTTTTTTTTAACAATTAAAAAAAAAAAAACAATTGTAATAATAGTTTTTTGTTTCTATTTCGGAGATTTTAAACGAAAGAATAATTAAAGTCGTTGTTTGTAAATTGGAATACGATTAATTATATTTCCTTATGATTCGGTGACTTTCATCATTTAAATGAATTATTTAGGAAAATTATTCGACATTTAATTAAAAATATTAATTGATATCATACAAAGTTCTTTATTTAGTCTAATTGACCTGTATAGAAGGAGTAGATAGTCCGTCCATTTGGTTACACATGCTTAAAAAGAATCATCCCATCAACAAACTCGATCAAATGAAGGATGTAAAGTGATTAAAAAAAAACAATGCATTACGTGGTACAAATTTCCACAACGGTCCATTGTATGTGATGATGTCACGGTAGATGTGTAATTATTTTTTTTTTAAAAAAAAGAAAGGAAGAAAGAAAGGAAGAAAAGGCTAGAATAAATTTTTTGGTTTTAAGTTTTAACTAGTTTTAAACGGCCAAGCTAATATTTTCCTTACACACATGACATCCTTTAAATCCTACGTCTCACGTTGTTGTAATGATTTATCCACGTGTTGTGGCTTAACACGTTTGAATTTGTAAGGTTTCAAATATTTAAAGAACAAGATTTCGCACTAAACAAAAAAGGGTCATTGCCCGATGTGGGAGCTTCTGACGTAAAGACGTCCTGAGAATCTAAAAAGTTTTCTTTGTTTTTTTTTTAGGTAAAGTTATGTCCATCATATCGGTGAAGAAATTGCGAGAAGGTGGTTTCTTTTCTTTAGTGGCGAACTCCGCAATCTAATATTAAAATGATGTATTATGAAACGTCTTTGCTGCAATTATATTTTCCTTTTCCAAACAAAATAAATGATAATGTAAAAAAAAAAAATTGATACAAAGAGTTTTCCGGTGGTAAAATTTGACAAAGAAATGGTTTAACCTAAAATAGAAATATCGTAATATTATTGTTATTTTTTTATTTTGCAGTCGAATATTAAAAATAAAAAATTCCGGAATTTTTTTTAAAGTAGAATTCTCGGATCAATTTTTATATTATCGAGTTGATGAAATAATAAAAAAAAAAATATGTGACAACGATCCTCTCCAAAACAAAGCGATGCACGTGATACAGATGATATGCCCAAACAAACAAAAAAAAAATATATATTCGTTATTTTAACATATTCGGTGAACAATGTATAAATTAAAAAACAGCAAATATACATGAAATTTATGCACTTTCGCCTAGGCAAATGCGCTTTAATGCACTTATTGAGATTATGGCGCAATACTCTGAGAGATTGATTTAAGGTTTTTGAGAAAATATTTAGAAAATAGATTCCTAATGCAAGATGTAAGAATGTGTGGTATAATAAAGTTCGAGAAATAAAATAAATATTTTGAACAAATTAAAAAAAAAACGTTTGAAAGATTCCTCGCCTTTCGCCGATACTTGATGTTCTATAATTCGAATCAAACATAAATTAAATTTCGAATCATTTGACATGCACAAATATTTACATTAACGTTTTAAGTGGGTGCAAATAGAAATCATAAAAAAATGCTCTGATACGAAAAACTTAATCTTCAGGTTTTATGATATCTAAGGATTAAGATGATATTGGGTATTACAGAACATATATCATGTTACGCTTTATAAATTACGTTAAATGCAATCTATAAACATTCAGGTCTAAATCATTTTAGATGAATCTGAATTTGTAACACGAAGCCAAATAATTTGCCTGAACAATATTAGATTAAATCCAAATCATTAATGTAGAAAGGTATTATTGTAAATCCACTATTGATTCAAGCTCAAACCTGCTTTATAAAAATGAAAAACAAGTGATTTGTTGCCAAAGTTCTCTTTAAGGAAACTTTACGTTATTATGTCTCGGATGTTATCTTTATGATGCATAACCGTTGAGACGGGAAAGATAACATTAACATTTTTACGTTATTTCATTTGTGGTATCAGGTATTTGACAGGTATGATACTCGTTATCTGTTGGGTTAGTGATCCAATTGTTCTTGAGCGTGTTATCTTGTTGTGTACTTCGGATAAAGTTAAATTTTTTATCCATAATTAGTGTTTAGTGTTCAATTGTTATACGATTATAACCAAAACCTTTTGAAATTTATCTTTAAAAAGCATTTTAGATTTCCTTAACCAGTTAGAGGACAACCGTTAGTTTACGTTCATTGGTTTTATTTGTTTGAGGGATAAATTTAATCTTGGATTTATTGAGCTTAAAGGAATTTTAAAGTTTAATTAATTTATTATTAATATATGACTTGATACATTTAAAGTTAAATACATAAAATATATTATAAATTTTAAACCTAAATTATATATTTTTTTTTATTGTCAAAAAGGACCCGTGACACAAATTATATAATTTTTTATTTGTTCATGTTTCCCTTTTCCCTTTTTTTTTGATTTTTTTCTTAAGAAATATAAAATGATAAATGTTTTTCATAATTATAAAATAGCGAATAAAATAAAATAAAAATAATATTGTTTATGCCGAATAATTGTGGTATCCTCCAAAGTACAATTGATAAAAAAATTCTAACTGATTCTCCAACTCTTGAACTCGTTGTTCAAGTACAATATTTCTAGTATTTACATAGAAAAAGGGATTTTGACCGCTTAGACTTTGATCAAATGTTTGAATATTCGAGGAAGCTGAAGATTCCGGAGAGGACATAACGGAATTATCGTAGTACATCGGTTGTTCATGATTCAAAACGGAAGGAGGGTTCAACATGACATTTTCTTGTTGCATTGGTGCTTCATATTGTGGACATTTTGTTGTAAGGACTTTCCCTTCGAAATCCTGTGTCGGGGATGACTGACTTTCAATTTCTCTTTTAAATTTACCATTCGGAATGGATTGTTCGTAGAGGAATGTAAGTCCTCTAATCTGATTAAATAACAACTGTGCGTCATTTGCCATTTTCCTGTAAACGTCTTTGACTTCTTTGGGCTCTTGTTTCCACAGACGACTTGCGTGAGAAGAAATGTTTGATCGATTACAGGGAACAAGTTTTGATTTTAATTCCCTTACTAGCGCCATCCTGTACGCGATGAACGCATTGGGAATCCTAACATTTTCTTTATTTTTGGATTTTTCTCCCTTAGGGAGAAGTTCCTGTGCAGTAAGAACCGGCGGAAAGGGTGGTCGTGAAGTACCTATGATGTTTTCAATCTTGCATCGAACCATGACCTTTCTTCGATTAACCATTTCTAATTTTTCTTTTTAATTTAAAAAAATTTATAAAGGTAAAATAAGAAATGAAATAAAAAAAATATGCTTATGTGAGAAAATGTTCGATTTGGATAAATTGAAATTTATGAGAAAAAAAATATTTTTTTTTTTTTTAAATTTTTTGCGACATCTTTCACTCTTTTTATATACACGAGAATTAATATTTTTTTGAACTAGCCACTTACTTCAAACATATATATATAAAGAGAAAGGGACAATGTAAATTGATAAAGCTAAAAATAGTACTTGTTTCATGGAGAGTTGCACGGAATTGAGATTGCGGATAAACCGTTAATCATCTTTCCTTTTTCGTCATGAATCAAATAATACGCAAGATGGTGATATTTTAATCAATTAATTTAAAATAAAAATAAAAAATTTTTTTTTTTTTTACATTGAACGTTTTATTTCGTTTTTATTAAAAAAACAAAAAAAAATACTTATCTTTTACGATTTAACCAATCAAATATTGTCGAGCGTAGCATATTCAATGTCGGACATTTTTTTTCGGGACAACTATTTGAGTAAACCTATGAAAATGGAGCGCACACAGCAAGGATACAAACGGATGCCGCGTATAGAAAAACGTCTCCTTTTTTTGCTTTTTTCGGCAGTCAAGAGATTTTAAAAAAGAACCATATAATGATTAATTAAAAATATAAAATGTAAATTATTTATTTGATTAATAATAAACCTTGATTTGTTTACAAAATGTTATCGATTTGATCATTTTTATACAGGTGCTGTACTTTAAAACAACTGAACCTCTTATCTTGTCATGATACAAATTATTAGTTTGCACAACTTTTCACGTACTCTCCTCCTCCTGAAACGCAGCAAATTCAACGTTTGGTGGTTGGTTTACTAAAAATATTTTTATATTTTAATTTTTTTTTTTACCTTTAATATTTATTGTTCGCATCAAATATTGTAAATAAATGACAAAGTTCGTTGTTCTTTCAATGAATCGATCGGTTTGACTTTGAAAATTTATTAGTTGTTGTCCGAAAAAAATTTTACTTTAATAACATTTGATTTATTTGGTGCTTAAATTTTTAATTACATCGTACCACTGAATTTTAAACTTGAACCTTTGATTTAATCATCCAAACATTTCTTTACCATCTCATTCTCCAGGACCAAATCGTAAGCGTCTCTAAAATCCTGGTCTGCTGAATTCCAAGCTTTTCTGGCTTCGTATGATAATTCAGTTCGCGAAAATCCCGGTAAAATTTTGGATAATTTATTATTCAATACGAGATAGAACAAGCTATAGCTTTGAGAACTAATAGTTTGATCATGTTTAGATTCCGGAGATTTTTGATATTCAATAAGGAGTCTACGTGCTTCACAAACCGTAGGTATTGTAACGACGATCGTAGCGGTATTGATCTTTACTACCATACTTTTTGAAATGCCTTCTTCTTCTTCTTCTTGTTGCGGTGGTGTCTCGATTGACAGGTTCGTATTTTGAGGAAAGGATTCATTTGAATTTCGATTCGTGTTGAAAAAGTAATTACGAAGAACTTTTAAACAGCACATTTTCTAAGAGATCATTTACTTTTTATTAGGCGTAAATATTATTTCTTATTACACGATTTGACGAAAATCGGTTTGGGAGAGTGCTGAAGAAATTTTTCTTCGCATCGTTGAAAAGTCTCGATTTTTATCGTATTCTTTTTTAACAATGCAAGGAATATTTGGGGGTGTGATTTCAAGAAACGAGGGTCCAAGGATTTCCTCAACAAAGATTTTGTTTGAATCTATAACGTTCATGTCAAAAATTTTATTTGAACCTCACACCCCCCATTTTAAACCTTTACAACTAAAAACGACGTTTTTTCCTTGAACATTTCCAAAAAATAAAATTCCCCATGAAAGGTGGGAATGATACCGCATCACCACATCTAAAAAAGTCACTTAATCAACAAAGTAACAATTAACAATAACGTTCGTTAGATTTAGATTTTTAGATCGTGCGATTTTATTTCACTTCCAGTTTAGGTAATTCACAACAATAAAATTTATTCGCGTTAAAATCTCATCACAAAAGCAATTATTATTTATTATTATTATTACCGGTATTATTATTATTTTTGCTGTTGTTATTTGACCTTGCTCATGACAAAATAAAAAAGAATAATTCACCTTGAACTTGGAAGTCAAAGTCTCATTATTACAGTATTGTTACAATTCAAGTCACGTGCTACGATCATCATCGTTTTATTAAAAAAAAAATTCCTTTTTTAATGATACACCTCCACAATTATAATATTATATATATAAAAAAAGGGATGCTCTATTTATTAAATTGAAATGGAATGATATCATAAATGGGACTCGATTGCCAAAACCAACATGAATTTTGAATGTGCGTCATTCTATTTTTAGAAATTCAGTAAAATCAAATGTTAAAAAATACTGTGGTTATCAGAACACAACTGTCGGCGTCAAATTACGAAACCATCGTCGGTCAGTTTCGAAAAATTAAACGTCGAAAATTTGAAAAAAATTGAAACCAAAAGCCGAAAATCGAAACCTTGGTTAAATACCCATGGACCTTATGAAATTGCGTTGATAGTATGCTCATCGTATCCGCACAAATAAGAAATTCTAACTTTAATTTTTACCCAAGGTTAAACATGACAATTTTCGGCCCACATTAATAAATAATTCTGGTCCAAAAAAAGTTTAATCACACGGACTCAGAAATTGTTCGGTTTTGTGCGACATAAATTTTGGTGATAAAATGTAACCACCTAACAGGTTTCGAAATATTGAAAATCGAAACCCTTTCGAAACTATAGTTAGTCCCTTTCAAATTTTTGTAATAGATGAAAAAATCAAACTTTGTTTCAAATTGCGAAGCCACAGACCGAAAAGTAAAGTTTATTGAGATCCATTTAGATAGATTAACCATAAAATTTTTATTGGTGTGGTCTTCAATTTTTCGTGTGACAAACCAATTGCAATGGTGCTCATGATTTATATAATTTCCAAAAAAGGAAATCAAAATGTAATGAAAAATTAATTATTCGTTTTTTTTTTGATAAAAATTTCTAATGTAATAATAATAATGTAATACTTAAGAAACTTAATGATCGGATATCATTTAATAACTAATAAGTACTTTTAATTAAAATATATTTTTAAAAATATATATATATTTGTACAATTTAATAATATGTTAATCCTAGTTTGCGATTACCAAATATGCACTTTCAAATGAAGGTCGTAAAATGATTGCACTTGGCAGTTATAGTTCAATCTATAACATTTTCTCTGAACACCTCGTAGAGGTAGCAAGTTTCATTGTATTTTAACCACATTTTATATGATGGCTCGCTTGAGGTGGAAAAAAGAATGTTCAAGCAAACCTAAACCATAAAAAATAAATAAGAATAAAATTTATTTTCACCTCCAATTACATCAAATAAAACTTGACATTTTTTTTTGGTGGATTTTTTTTTTAAAAAAAAAAAATAAAAAAAGTAAATATTATATTTTCTAAATTGCTTTTTTTTTGAAAATTTTAAAAAATAAAATGATATTTTGGCAAAAAAAATTTTTTTTAGTACTGGCCAAGGTGACAAAGAAGAAAATGTGGCCATTTAAAGGAGTGGAAAGGACTCGAACTATAATCAATGGCAAAAGATATGATATACCAGGAAGAAGTAGATCCATTGGTACATTCGTTGACTGGGGTTTTAATAAATGCCAGGAAGCTCAGGAGCCATCCATCGGCTCTGACAACTAAAAGACGATAATAGGAGGGTGGATTGGAATAAGAAATAATGGGTAGATGAAGAAGAAAATGATGATGACGATGGTGAATAAGGGAAGGTGGCGAACGATAAGAAACGTATTATGGAGGGCAAAGATACAGGAATGGGAGGTGAGTGAGTAAAATAAGAAATGTGAAGGAATTCGATGAAAAATGAGAGCAATCGAGAGTGAAGCACAAAAACTAAAGAAGTGGCAGCGGAGGCAAATTTAAGAAAGAGTTAGGGTAAATTAGAATGGAAGAGGAAGGAGAAGAAGAAGAAGAAGAAACAACTGTAGCAGAAGAAGGAAGAGAAGGAAGGAATTAAATGAAGAATTTCGTCTTGGTGCGACAGCAGTACGAACGGCTCCTCGAATCGATCCTGTCAAATTCTTCGAGTCATCGTTTAAAATATTCCTTATAATAATAGAAATTAAGTCTTTAATTTTGTTTTCTCTCTTTAAAATTGTCCAATGAAAGCAAATAACGAATGAATGACGTCATATGCGTTAAATGCTAATTTGAATCAAATATCGTTAAGACTTTACATTTTTATGATTATTACGATCTTGGTATTAATAGGTTAAAAATTACTTTTTTATGCATTCATTATAAGAATTCTGTAATACATCAAATATTGATATTTTTTTTAAATGCATTAGTTATAATTATTTTGCTTCTTTTACAAATCAAAAAAAAAAAAAAAAAATAATAAATTTTATAACGAATGATGATAAAATTTTTAAGCTTATTTTTGCTTATTAAAATAATATTTGTCGTTTTTAAAATTCGTTGCTATTTGCGCAATGATCTTGACGAAATTGAGGTTTTTTTTTATTTTTGGTTACGTAATACACAAATTTTGTTAGGCAATGATGCTAAAGAATTGACTAACGAAAATGTAAGTACATTCTTTTTAAGAAAATTTCTAAGTTTACACGGGGTGTATGTACACGAATCATGTGACAAATATATTTGTAGCTTTTACCGGTGAAAAAATTATTATTCGTCAAGTCCTATCCGTCACATGGCTAATTTCTTAATTTCTTAATTCCGGCGAAAAATAAGCTTAATGCCGGTGGTTTCACGTGAATACATACAAATAGAAATTGCCTCTTTTTAAATACCAATATTTTTTATGGCTTGTTGAAAATTCGCGTATTTGCAAAAGTTTACGATAATGTGCCATTTTCTTTTTCTTTTTCATTTTCTTTGCATAATTCTTAAATCCTTTGATGACTTTTCCATTCAAAGCACCTTTAAGGGACAGATTGTTACTAATAATATTTTGAATGGTGAAACATGATTAAACGTTTAGAAAGAACGATTGTTGATTAAATAGTCCATACATATCATCATCGCAGACAATAGGGCACTCATATATTTAACGAATATATGGGAGGATTGCTATTAAAATCACGTTACGGATCATATGATTTACTATGTTCATAAACTCGATTTTAGTAGCAAACCACCATATGTCGATACAGGCACAATCCATATTAAACAAGTCAGGAATTAATATTCATGTTTTATTTTTACTAATTAATAATTTTAAGATTAATTCCCCTTCTCGTTCTTTAACCTTTTCTTTAAATGTATGGATTGTGAACGTTACTTTGCTCCAATACTGTAATTTTCAAATCTTTTATCGTATTTTCTAGATCGTTCTTTTTTTGCGATTGAACCTTCTATAATCTCGGTCTAATTTATTTTTTTTGTTGTCACAGATAATTCGCAAAATTTCCGTTATTTTTCCCATTTGATAGTTTTCTTACCAAATAAAGTTTGTCGAACCGTGAGCATTGTTAAACATTTGAACGATATCACTATCATGTAAACTTAGTTGTGATTAATGGACATTTTAAATGTCTAAAAGCATGAAATAAAAAAAAATAATAATTAACTTACCAAAATTTTTCCGAAATTGTATATTTTGTTCAAATAGAAGATACTAATAACATCTTATTTCATTTCAGAATAGTGTGAATTAGTGAATTTTTGCTTGAATCCATCCCACAATTATTTGCCTCAGTAGTCAACAATTATCATATTAATTACTCGTTGTATCATTAATTGAAAACCGTATATATCATAACTATATACACTTCATTAATCAAGAATACCAAATAAGTCAAAACAAGACTATTTTAGGATGTTATTCGAATAATGTTGTGCCCAAGTTAATGATCTGCCCCAAATGCAATTTCAATTTCAAATTTGGGCAATGCGGATTTTGCTGCCCAATTTAAAATTAGGGCAAATTAAAAACTGAGAACGCGGTATCCCAAGTTGATTCCAATTTGCCTCAATTAAAATTGGGATAAATTGAAACCTGGGAACGCAGTGCCCTAAGTTGACTATTGCTCCAATTTAAAATTGAAAAATGGGAACGCAGTACCACAAGTTGACTATTACCTTAATATAAAATTGGAGCAAATTTGAAACTGGGAAAATAATACACAAGTTGACTATTGTCTCAATTTAAAATGGGATAAATTGGAAACTAAGAATGCAGAAGCTATTGCCTAAATTTAAAATTGATTTATTTGAAATGAAATGTTATATTTCAGTTAACTTTTCACTATTTTAATCTTTATATAATTATAAATTTTAAAATTATAAAATCAAATGTTATTTT